TATAGGATGAGGTGGCGCCTAGCATATTCTGCGAGCTTCTTGGGACTCTCGCTGGGATCCCAGAACTTGCACTCGTTGTAGCACAGTGCAAGGTAATGAACACAACTGCGCCTGCGAATTCAAACACAACGACCAACTGGTCGCAATCTGCGGATCTAAACATGGCTGTGCATACGTATGTGTGTGACATTGCTGTGTATATGTATGTGTGTGACAGAGGGGGCGGGGGAGCGGTGTTTAAGTCAGTGCAACACGCACCGTGTGCGTTGATGATCAGTATTGCAGGGCATCAGTCTGAGCAATAGATGATCGAGGATCGGGACCAAATACCGCCCTTCAGCAGCCTTAGTTTTCATCTTAGGTGCCTTCGTAGTCTTGACACGAAACATCCCACACGTTAGGTTCCCAATCGGGCACGGCGTGCCAAGAGCGTGGGATGCAAGCTCCAGTAGATTCTGCATGATGGTCACAACCTGGGTGCCACGGCGACGACCAATCTATAATATCGGGGCGGAGTGGTGGGGACACATGGGGAAAATATCTAGCAAAGGCGATAGGGCGAGTACCACCAGGAACAGCACAGAAGCCGATAACACACAGGCAGAAGGTATCGAGCTCATTATGCGGAGCAAGACTGGAGTGGGAGTGGGGTGATACTTAACGGTGAGGGCGTGGTGGGTGGGGGTATATAGAGAAAATGTGAGTTTGCCCAACACCCTGCGCGGCTGCGTAACTCGACCGCCCAACTCTACGAAAATCTCCCACATCACGTTTCCCAGGGTCTCCTGGGTCACGCCGAGGCACCCCACGTGCATGAGGCCAGGTCGCAAATATATCCAGGAAAATCCTGGAATCTGCAGCGGTCCAGTGTCGACCACCACATCACCAGAGCGCATCAGTTCAACGTAACGCTTGGCACTGTACACTCCACGTCGCCACCCCGCATCGTTGCCAAACTCGCCCAACTCTGCAACCGTGCACGGACAGCGGTAGCATATCTTTGTATGTCCAGGCCCCCCTCGCCACCCTGTAATGTTGAACACACCTTTGAACCATGCCCAATCCCCTCTGTAATCGATGATGCCACCCCGCGTTCGCATGCGCTGCCCTGATCTGGCAGCCCTCTGTTTATCACCCCGGAACTCGGACCCCTCGAACGGTGTCCCATCGTGTCGATTCTGGGGCCACCTCCCTGTAACCCAATATCGACACATCCATCCGAGAACTTTCCAAACCTGGGACACATGCACAGATCAACGTTGCACCCCAAGACAGACAACACGGTACCTATCTACTGCCAACATCCCGTACCCGCCCGATTCCCAGACCAACATTGCTCTCTTGGGAACAATTCGCCAATCTTGGCGTGCAACGTTATCCTATACAATTCAGGTGACGCCGAACATTGCTCGCAAAGAATCGTGCCATATCGAATCCGATGAGACATATATACATATGTATGTATATACACATAAATGTAGGATTGGGAGGTCGCCACACAACCGTAGATATTGATTAGTAGGAAACGAGGGATTCAATGCGAGCAAATGGTCACCGTACTTGAAAGCAAACTCACCTCGCGGAAAGTACACCTGCCTCCGCAGCCGCATTGACACACGTGCCGCTTGCTCAAACAAACAGCCCAGTAACGCTTGCGGCACCTGGGGGACGATTCCCTCTAACACACACGTGTACGTCACAACGCGATGTGATCCCAATCGTGTGACGGGGTAGTGTTATTGGGGCGGTCGGGAATGTGTCGGGGGGGGGGGGTAGTGGGCGCAGGTTGGGCACATTCTATATCTGCCGCACGGCACGTGCCAGTAAGTGCTGTGATGGTGAACATGTACAGGCTGTCACGCGTGTGGTAGGGGGCACCGTCCCCCCATAAGCCGCACATGATCATGCCGTCTGTATCGGCGTGGCTGATGCCGATGCGCTCGGCCCAGTCAAAAACTTGAGGGCGGAGCGCCTCCTGCAGGCGAGCAAACGCGCGGGCGAGAGCTGGAAAACATGTAGCTGACCGATCATGTCGGGAACCAGCAGGCATTAATCTAATGATTTAGGGGTTGGGTGGCACGAGTTTGTTACCCGTGCTCCTGGTTCGCATCGTAGCTGGACCAGTGTGCTTCATCCCCTGGCTTGATGAGCGCTGTCTCAAGGATCTCTGTGAACAATAAAAAACTTATTATGCCAGTGGTCTGTGCACCTGTTCGACGATCCCACAACGGTAAGCGTGCTTGATATGGTTGTGGCATGTTTGTTTTCTGGAGACGGTTTTGTATTGCAGAGACGCATTGTAGACGAATCCAGCCGTGGCGTACGATTGGTCATCCCCGACCGAGACGGCACCCCCCAGTGCACAGCTTAAGACCCCCAAAAAACGCTCCTTCTCGAGCTTCCTCATCAGATCTCTCTGCGCGTTGGTCTCGTTGGTTTTCGTCTTGGCGATGCGCTTCCAGCTCGCCAACTGCTCGCACGTATTTCTGTCGTGTAATCCTGCCCTGGCTCCACGACCAACCTCCCGAGAGCTAATCTTCCCCCCGCACCATAAGCGATGAATCCACGAACTCAACTGACCAGTTGACTGCTTCTCAAAGTGTCGCTGCCGCACCCCGCGGCCAGGCATCGCATGGCACTTCTCAAAGTGTCTGCGCAGGTGCCGATGCCAGCGACTCGCACTACAAAGCCAAAACTGCGGCGACAGTCACTGTGACCAACACTCAGCGTGTGCAACCCCAATCTTGGATGTATATCGTGTGTCTCATCTTAGATCCGCACCCCCATAACAACAGACCCGATTCCACCATCCACAGTCAGAATAACGATGTCACACACCGTACGCACATTGTATTGTTTGATGCGCGTGTCTATCATGCGGCATGCTGTGGTATCCTGAATAGCATGTACCATGCTGCGTTAACACATGTTGTGCTAGTTGTGATGGCTGTCAGACGGCTGCGGTATTGCGCATCGCCCGAGTAGTAATGATCGCCGACATGTAATTGTTAATATTGTTGCGATACGCAATACCGCAACTGAATACGTGTTTTGTGGTACAACCCCGCACGACAGATCTGGTTAGACATACGCCTGGTGATAAAGCACCATTGCGACATGGCGTGCTTCAAACGAAATGATCAAGCACATCACCAATCCCCAACGAACCCCAAAACACCAGCATACATGCTGGTCGGAAGTGGCAGCCGTAAACGGCCAGTGAAATCAGATGCACCCTTCGATGCGTCTGAGTAGTGCTGCACGTGCATGGCTCATACTCACTGGTCAGCGGTCGACGTGATCGCACAGCCGTGAGACATTTTCTTCAGATCGCTCCAGACCCGCGAATCGAAATCCTTGAATACCTTCACGAGACAGTCCGTCGCCTTCTCCACCTCCGTAGTTTTGACCTTGATCTCATCAGTAGAGATACCCTGGGCAAGCGACAGTGGAGACGCAAGACGGAGACGATTCAGCGGACACGGCCAACTATAAATGATAATGGTGATACGGGGTGGGTGAATTGGGGGGTGCACGTGCTATCCGATCGGATAGCGCTATCCGATCGGATAGCGCTATCATGCCGTAGTGTCATAGTAACACAATGCGCATTGTGTTACTATGACACTACGGCATGGATGCCAAATTGTCATATTATCACAGAAAATGTCCGGATGGGGTTACACAGCGCCCCTGACCTGGAGCTTCTGTCCTACCAGAGTCTGCTCGATGAACGCCTTGACGGCGCCCAAGACCTTTGAGATATCGGCATGTCACAACTGTAATGCTGGGATATCGGCTCGTCTAACACCAGGCTATGCGGCATGACGTATACATTATATAATGTACACGCCATGGGTGGGTGAGTAGGGTGTATAATGAGATTTGGTTGGGCGAGTAGGGGCAGTGTAATATTACACTGCCCCTACTCACCCAACAAAATCACGCACATATAGGGATGCTGGTCACCAACTTCTGAGCTTCATATCTGAACATATCATAGCCGCGTCGAATATGTGCAAGTTGAGTCCTCATCTTCATACTCCTCCTCCTTCTCCTCATCCTCCTCCATCGTCAGTATACCCGTCGAGCCTTGTCAGCCTCGTTTTTCAGGTACTGGCCCGTGGCGTCGGGGTACCCCTTCTCGTTCAGGAGCCCGATGGTCTGGGGAACCATCACCTCGCACACGTGGCGGAAGCTGGTGGACTTGGTCTTCGCCTCGTTGTACTTGGCCTCGTACTCTTTCTTGGCCTGGGCGAACGCCTGGTCATTGGCGCGCTTGGCCTTCTCCTTCTCCTGGTCAGCCACAGGCATGTGCGCAATCTTGTCGAGAAACTCCTGCTCCTCGTTCTGGCGCTTCTCCAGCTCGGCAGCCTTCTTGGCCGCCTCCCTCTTCTTCTTGGCCTCCGCCTTCTCCTCCTTGCTCATGGGCGCGGAGCGGTCGAGGTCGACAAGAGCACCTGCTGCGGCACTCGAACTCGAGCCCGACGCAGCCGCACTCCAGCCATCGAAACCTTTCATCATCTCCTGCTGGGAGGCCATCTACGAGACTCAAGGGCCAGCCGCTGCGCAATCGGAGCGACGATTGACACGCCATACCACCAGACACCCAAAGGGGTGGCCGAACTGGAGACGCCCGAGAGCTACAGACCTCACGGCCCAGAAACCATCCACCCGCCAGATGTTAGATGGTGTTCGGCGATACGCTCAGAACACCATACAACATCGCAACACAGGAAAACCATATAGGCCACCAGGCGGCACGCTCTCGAGCGACACCATTCGGTATCGCATAGAATGGGGCGAAACACATCGCACCGCAACGTGTGTCACACGTGAGCTAAGTGAGCCCACGTACGACACGTCTTACACATCAACCACCCATCATCATGGAAACTACCGTGGGAACGCACGTCCACGAGCATGGCGATAACATATGACACACGAACCATACACACCCGTACATAAGTTTTCCCTCATCACCGAACAGTCCTTCTGAACGCGTTCATAATCATCTGCCTCCATGCTAGCTTCGACCTCGACCGACGCAGAGTGGCTGGTGGAATCGATGAGCTTGCCCTCACCGTCGCATACATAATGATATTCGAGAATGCCCAGATCTCTGAGGGCACTGAAGAGCCGTGTTTCAAAACGGGAAGACGGAATTGTATGATAATGCCTAAACGGAGGAGGATGGCCAGGAGGAGGGGGATGAGGAGGAGGATGAGGAGGAGGAGGATGAGGAGGACGAGGAGGGGGAGAGGGAGGATGAGGTGTAAGATGCGGAGGCGGAGTATGTTGAGGAGTTGGATGATGAGGATGAGGAGAGACAATGGTGAAATAAGGGTGGATGACTGATGGACAGCATACACATAGGCGGAGAAGGAAGATGCCGACGAGGAGGAATCGATAAGGGATATGGGACAGCATATGTGGACATGGATGACTGACATACAAGAACGGGTGAGTGGCACTCATCATCAAGGGGATGATTGTCACGAGCGGCGCACATTACCAATGTAAACAAGACGCAACACACCGCCGAGCAAGTATGCAAGTCATCAAGACAAGCAAACAACCACCCGTTCAAGAGGACACAGCAAACAAAAACAAGCGATCCGTGAACGCTTGTGGGGACGCGACTCCAGGTCCGCGATCATCGCCAGCGCGTGCTCCTATAGGTTTTATATATACAGCGGCACATCGACTGCATCACTCGCAGTGGTAACGCTGTAGCTCCCGACGGTGTGGCACAATCTATCCAGCGGAGTTGCCAACATATACCATATATATATATGTATACACCGTTTACACATGTATGTATACATCGAACTATTCGTTAATACGGTTATATGTATATATGTGTATATATATATATATATATATATGCACGCACACGCACACATATACATGGCATGCCTATGTGTTCGTGTGTGCGTGTGCGGGGATCACCAGTACGTGCGTTACACACGGTCCCCCGAAAGCAAAATGCAACGCAATGATCCTTGTTGTTCAGGTAGAGCGGGCCGCCCAACACGTCGAGCGTCACCCATACGTCGATGACCGCGTCCTCCCTCGTCCGCTTGATCTCAGTCTTGCTCCTGGCGAAGGGAATCGATGGGATCGGACGGGCACGGCACCGACGACTGTGCGCATAGGTGATGGGGGGATGGTGGCGGGGGGTCGGATGTCTCAAGGAACGTTAGGGCACCCCGATCGGGGATGTGGTGTTCAAACCATCGGTCCTGCCAACGCAACCCCCTGTCTTGGGGTCCATAATGAACCGTTTCAGCCAGCGAACCTAGTGGGGCCATGTGTACACACATATATGTATATGTGTATACGCCGATGCACACACACGCACCAACTAGGACCACGATCGCCCAGAACAATGCACAGCAACCATCAGCGATCATTGGTCCAGGTTGGCGTGTGAGTGCATCGAGACATTAGGTACGGTGGTGCGTGCGAGTTACGGGTGATCACTCGGACCTTCTCGGTGTCTGTAAGAGCAGTGTCGGTGTATTCTTGCAGGCGGCTCGGCGAGTTCGACGCCAGGAAGTAACGCATGGCAGAGAACGGCCCCTTCTTCTCAACAGATGTCATTTTCGACAGAATCGCATCGAGCTTCGTCTCGTCGCCGCCGCACGAATCCATCAGGGCCTTGATTTGTTTGGGAACGTTCGCGGTCTCGGGGATCGGCTCATGATCAATCTGCTGCTTCGGCTTGCCGCCCCCCCTGCCGCCCCTGCCACGGCCCTGCGACTTGCCTCTACCCTTGCCCACGGGGGCGCCACCGACACCTGGGAGGACAGCCAGCTTCGATGCCTTGGGAGCCATCGCTGCACGTGAACCAAACACGATCACGTGGGGCTCAGATATGTGCACGAATCTGAATATGCACTTGAGCCTCCGAGTCAACCGACGGCACGGAGATGGGCGAGGGTACATGGCCCATTGGGGGAGAGGGCGAACCAGTAAGTGTGAGAGGGGGAGGGCAAGACTCGAGCTAAATCGGGTGTTGGCGAGTTTGTGGACAGTTTTCGGTTTGGAGCTAGTTCATAACAACTGTGGGCCCAAGACATCTAACGAATGCAATAAACACCAAACCGAAAACGAAACACTTGATTTAGCTCGAGCCCTCTGGGATGGGGTGTAAGGCTCGGGTATATGAAGACGGGGACTGATCGAGTGAGACTCGTGCTGCCAGCATCGCATGGATCCGGTATGCCTGCTTTTTGTGCCAGCACCGATGGCCAACCAGTCAGAGTACCCACAACAATCAATTAGAACGATCGGGAGATGATTGAGCTCAAATATAGCTCTAACGGCGCATGCATGACCATACGCAACTCACAATGAATTACACCCGCGACGCAACCAAGCGTTGCGCGCAGCACTTGCGTCGAACGCCAGCCCCCAACCACGGCAATCCGTCGTGTGTGCTCTCATATGGGTGCCACACGGGCACATCCACGCAACCATTCGGGCATCGGATGGTCAACCCGCGACCGATCTGGGGCCCAAAATGCATGCTCAGTTTCCGTCATTTTTCCGTCATTTTTTACGTCATTTAGTACCGTATAGTGTGTTTTCACAGGTAAAGTGTATATTTTATTAGATTAATATGCATTATCAAATGACAGAAATGTGGTATTTTTATATATGTATATATGGTTTTACTGGTTTCCGTCACTTTCCGTCATTTTTCTGTCACCTCATGTGTGTGGGTTCTTTATATATATATATATATATATATATATAGGGTTTTATAGTTTCCGTCATTTTCTGTCATTTTCCGTCATTTTTCCGTCACCGTGTGTTTGGGTTGGCACATGGTGTGTACGGTGCGTGCGTAGCGGGGCTAGGGTGGTGACTACATATCAGGGGCGACCGTTTCTATCATGTTCGGGGCTTGTCATTCGTGCATGGGGGGGGGTATTGTGGGACCTGACGGCCATGATGCTATGCGCGTGACACTTCAGACGGTTAGTCTGATGTGACATGTGGGGCCCGTGCGGCCCACGGGCCACGAGTGAGATGCACTAGATGTGACATATGTAGGTGATGGGGTCGGGTGGGTGGCCCCCCTGAACCACCAGAATACACCTCAGACGCATGCAAAACTGGGCAGTGAGGCGCACAACCTCACAAGTGCCCTACTCCGACTCGGAGTTGTAGTCGTAGTCGACGGGCGGCCTGAAGTTCACGAACGGGTTGGCGCGGCGCCTGGCGGCGGAACGGCGGGGCGTCTGGCGACGTGTGGGATGGTTTGTAGGGAGACGAGTGGGATAGGATACATAAGGGCGCCTCTCTGGAGTAGTTGCCAACGGAGTTGCCGCTGATGGCACCGCCGTGGAGGGAGTTGCAGCCGAGGAGGAAGCGCTTCCCGACGATCCCGAACCCCCCGCCAAAATCCTCGCGACTACGGGGGGGTGGCACAGGGCGAGGTGGAATGATATGATATGGGGGTGTCAAGACTAATTGATATTGACTTGTGAATGTGACGCATATGGTGAAGTAGGGGATGGGGTGCGGTAACATTATCCACACATACGTGTCCTCTGTACACGCTGTGGTGGATCGAGCACAGGGCGCATCATAATAGCATAATGGCGTGATGGGCTCTCGATGGCGGTGCCACTGGAGTCGATCATGCACGCCTCGCAAACGTCGTCCTCGATCGTATATACAGTCGCGCACCCACGACACCGCCACGACACACCAGTAGGACGCTCATTGACAGGCACTGCTCCAACTTTGTCACCACCATCACCATCATCCAGAACGATCACACCGTTCGAGTCGTCGTCCATAGAATGCTTGCGTTTTTTGGGAGTGGATTTTGCATCAGATGTGTGACCACCGTCGTCACGAGCTCGAACCAATGGTGCGTCGTCAGAATCGTCATCATCACCAAGCAGGTCGCGACTCGGGCCTGGGACCATCCACTTCTTGAGCGTGTGTTTGTAGCCATACGGGCCAGCATTGTCACGCAGCGTCTTCACCAACTTATCCTTCCAGGGTTTGGCCTCTGGTCGACACACGGGGCATACAAGCGAGTAGAGAATGTACAGTGTGATGAAACTGACTGGAATCGATCTGGATTCGGGAGCGACGTGATTGCACGGGAATGCGATACGGGCGGGGGGGGGGCAACTTATGAATGTTGGGATGGGGGCCTCGGCAGTATACCACCAAGCTGGAAGGGTACAGCCCAATGATAATTGTACTGCCGCTATCTCCACCATATCATCTTGAGGACTCTCAGGCGCAGCGCCCACCACATGCACGGACTGAAGCGGAAGCAACACATACTCATATACACCAATTCGGAGCGGGCAGTGTGAGGGGAGGGAGGGAAGCAGGTCATACATATGAAATCGAGGCATGCGTACGTTAGCACACCCTGCTGCCTTCTTCGGAGGTATATTCCGCTGCTCACCATGGTCGGTAGGTATTCCATCAGGGCACACCACTGAGCACAATACCAGAGGCATGGCTCGCATCTGTTGCGTGGTGCTCAAGTACCTCTCGCGATGCGTGACTGCCCATATTCGCCAAACAGTTGATGCACTGATGACTTAGCTATAGAACACACTATATATCTCACCGCATCACAACGTAACGCCGATTTCTAGTTCGTGCAGTTTAGGTTACACAGCATGAGTTCAATCATATTGGTTGCGTTGTAGCACGTCAACATTGCACTGTTTGGGGTCCACACCCACTGCTGTTATAGGGCACGCGTGTTGTGCTTAGGTGTATTCGTGCTATTACGTAGGTGCGTGTGTAGCTTGCAAGTGTGTTATGTCAGTTTGGTATGCGTACCGATGACGTGTGCGTGTGTGTGTGTGTGTGTTGCACGAAAACTAAGCATTAGCACGTGCAGTGGGTGTTATGGCCTCACACCTCCTTAGAACGTCCCGCACACCCTGGCAATGTCAATGCTGCAATATTGGGCTTCTTCATGTAGCGGCATCGGATAAAACATTTTATGATATGAGCACAGAACCGCACTGGATACGCAGCTGAGTGGTACATCTCCTTTTTGAGTCCGTCGCCGTTGTCATCCATGAGTTTCTTGTGTGGCTCCGTACATTCACATACAAGCCCAATAGCAAGCAGCCACCAGCATGACGACCAGAAAATCATCAACTTCTTTGGAACATCTCCAGGCGATTGACCAATACCACGGAACCTATTGTCAGATGTGAACGTTGAAGAAACGCTAACACATTACGAGATGGGGGTGTCATTGAATAAATGGGATGGGACGCGAGGGTGAACAAGCGGACCAGAGAGAGAGCACGATCGCACGACCTTGCTGTACATGAGAAGATACACGATCAGGATGAGACACGGGGTGACTACATAACATGCTAGCGCAGTGCGTTCATATGCCGTGCACCTGCACATATGTGTCCTCGTGCAGACGTAGCTGAAATCCACCAGCGTTCGGGTCAACGGGGGGAACGTGAAGATGTTGCTCCTTGCACGGCGATTGCATGGGCGTGGCATCTCCAATCGCCCCCGCAGTCGATCAAGCCTCAAACTAACATCAAACCTCAAACTAATATCAAACCTCAAACTAACACCAAAACAAAAACCTCAAACTACCATCTTATCTCTGAATTCGGGGGTATGCGCATGCGTTGGTTGGGCAACCCTGGCTCCTTCCCGGATTCTCGAGTACGCATCTCACGCCACGTAGTTCCAATACACGTATGAGGAAACTGACCTTACGAACCATCATACTCGCAAACCTCACATCTGGGTTACAAAGATTACCTTCAACGTGAGGCGGTGTCTCAGCTAGGTTGGCCGTCAGTTTTGCAGAATTTGTTTGGCCACACTTCCAAATGCACGATCGTTGTGTACAGCTCGAGCTGGCATATCCCCACGTGGAACACTCTGGCGCAAACCAGACAAGCCCATGTTCCTTCACCTGGGAGGAAACCCACGACACTGACAAAACCAACGTTTACCGACACAGTCCTGGGGCCCACTGGATATTACCGACGCGGTCCTGGGGCCCATGGGGTATAACAGGTTTGGTTGCATCCAGCCACATGGCCGTTAGAAGTGATGTCTCCAAAATCTTGAATCCGTCGGGCGTCAGGATGTCGTGGGCGGGGTTGTCCGCCCAGTCGAAGTGCCGATAAGGGAAGGAGCACGCGCCGACACGCGCTCAACACATGCGGTCTGGCACCGCCACGTTTACGTGAGCAAACGGGGCGATTGGGAGGGCGATGTCACATCACGGCGTTATGGTTTGGGTATCTGGAGCGGTTTTGGCAAGTTTCGCGGCCGAGGGCGGACCCAAACAACAAGGTGAACGAATGTGGGCACCAACACACCGAAACACGCACGCGCAACCGCGTGGACATACGTGTGCACGACATGCGCACATTCACACATACGTACACATCGGGGGATACGATCGGGCGACAGACAGAATAACAGAAAAATCTGTCACACGACAGAATTTTCTGTCAGAT